AATATCCAAAAGGGCGATAAATAGTAATAGGGGAGCGGTGAATAGTAATGCCCAAATAATAACAATGGATTCTAAAATGCTTATACTATTATAGTTTTTCACTTTTTTGTATACACTTCAAATAGTTCAAAATTAGTTTTATCTAATATTATTTAATTTAACAATTACGAGTAAAAAGAATGCAAAAAAAAAAGGTTAATCACTTTTTTATGTTAATCACTTCCGCGAACCAGCCCCTGTTTATAAAGAGTAGGGTAAGCAGAAACCTGTGATCTTTCTATCATACCGAGTATTCTGAGTCAGATTCCCTTTGAATATAAAAAAAAAAGGGCTTGAGGGAAGTCGTGAGCTCTAATCAGCAGGTTTCTGAGCTAAAGATTCTTCCATTAGCAAGAGGAAGGGGTAAAAGGCGGATTGAGAGGTAATGCAATTCGTACTCTCAGTCTCAAGGAAAAGCGACTAGGATTGAAGCCCAAAAAAACAAACAACCAAATGTATGATATTAATATTTTATAACAAATTAGAATTAGATTTCTTCATAAAATCTCACAATTTCAAGCCCTAGCCTGATCCAGATACCCGACGAGCTGCAGCTCGACACGAGAGAGAAAGATAGAGATCTCAGCCCGGCTCTCAATCTCCGGCGCAGGCGCCGGTGAAAATTCGGGTCCGGAGTCCCGTTCGGCGGACCTCTGATACTCGGATCTACAGGTATTGATGGCTAAAATCTTTGATTTTTTTTATTTTTTTTTCTTTCATCAGAGAGTGAGATACGGCTGTGGGCTGTGGTGTTTGTTCTTGTTCCCAGTTCTTTTTTACATTTTTTTGTCATGTTCCCAGTTTTTTTTCCCCACAAATTTTTGCTTCCATTTTGTTATTTTGGTCGGGCCAGCTCGCCTAGCGAGCGGCGGCCCGTGCGAGTGTGGGCTGGACTGGCGTTTTATAACAGATATTCTGTGGAGAAAATGCTTGGACTTGTCCCACCTAACGGGTGGGTTTTGGTGGGTCTTGACACGTCTAGTATGCAGTAGCAACAAGTTAATTACATCCCCTAGTTTATACAATACTGAAGTGATTATTGTTGATATGAAGTAGTAGCAATCAGGTTGATCATTTTCCCCGTCTAGGTAGTAGATGAGGTTATTCCTCTTGAGAGGAGTTATTTCCGATACGTTAGTTTCCGTTGAAAAAGGGTAGTTATGGATTATGATTGTAGAGTGAAATGTAGTACCACAAAGATTATTCTGTTTCTTCATGAAAGTCTGTTTTGCCAAAAGAGAAGTTGATCAGATTACGTTCGTTCGGTCGGTAATCAGACTGAAGTTTTGGGTCAGTTTCGGTACGGAAGTTGGTTTTGTAAATTTTGGTGTATCTGAAATATCCATTCTTCATGTGAGGCCAAACGAAACCATAGACAATTAGTTTGACTGTAATGTTATGTGGAGGTTGAACTGAGGATCTGTTTGTGTCAATTTGCTTGATCTCGCACGGCTAATCGATCTATAATCTTTTACCTTCATTCCAAAATGGTGTTAGCTTGCTGCAGTATGCCTTTGTGTTTTTCATTAGTGGGTGCAAAGGGGCAAATATTACTCAATGCTCTGCATTAGTAGATTTTTTGTTAAATTATTAAATGTGAAGGAGTTAACATGATTTGCATAAAAATTAATACACAAAATGTATGATGTTTACCTTAATTTCATTTCTCATGTTATATCTGATCTTCAATTGGTGCATACACCAATTGAATTCCCTGTATAGTCTGTTATACAAATTTGTGACTTTATTACATTATTTCAACAGAAATTGATGCCTGTATACTGCAATTTGTTCTTACCCCCCAAATAAATAAAAAAAATCATCTTTCTTAGTTGTAAAAGGTAATTTGATATTTTCGTGCATTGTCACCCTCGACTTGTTTTACTGTAATTTATCAGTTTACAGGTAACACGAGTGCCTATCACCGTTGTTTCTTTCCAGGAAGGGACTTTTGAAACAAAGGACGAAGATAAACCATCCCCCCGTCCAAAAGAAAAAAAGAAAAAAAATGCTACAAAACATACCCCACCAAATCGTCCAGTCCCCAGCTCGACTCGGCCTCCCCACCCCCAACTCTCCTTCCCTCCAAAACCCCAAACTCCCGACCCAAACTCCTCCTCAACCATCCTCTCTCCTCTCTCTTCTCCCTCCTCTCCCACGCGCCCAATCTCTCCTCCTCCAAATGGCTTCCCTTGCCTCTCGACTCTTCCAAGTCTCCCCCAACCGCTCTCATTGGCTCTCCTCTTTTCGCGGCTCTCTCCCCTCTTTCCTCTCCTCCTCCTCATCTCTCTCCCTACCCGACTCTTCCAAAGAGATTCTCTCCCAATTCACCTCTCTCCAAACCCAACTCTTCGAATCCGTAGCCGAACTCCAAGAGATACTCGACCTCCAAGACGCCAAAAACAAACTCTCCCGAGAAATAAACTCCCTCGACTCCTCCCTCCTCGATTTCGCTACCAAGCTCAAAAACGCCGAGCACGCCCTCGACACTCTCGTCGACGACTACTCCTCCGAGTACCGTAAATCGAGCTCCACCACAATAGAAACCACGCTCAAGCTCTCCGAAATACTCTCCTACGCGCACAAGATAAGTTACACAACTTTCGCCCCTCCCGAGTTCGGGTCGGGCCAGGGCCCGCTCCGCGGGGCGCTGCCGCCTGCTCCGCAGGAGGAGCAGATGCGCGCGTCACAGCTGTACAGTTTCGCGGGCCTCGATGTTGGGCTTCCGAAGGCGGCGGCAGAGGAGGAGAGGATAATCGAGCCGATGGTGGAGGAGGAGTCGAATATCCCGATACCGAATATTGTGGTGCCGTCAGGCTGGAAGCCCGGGATGCCGGTGGAGTTGCCGAGCGATTTGCCGATGGTGCCGCCGCCGCCAGGGTGGAAACCGGGCGACCCGATTCCGCTGCCGCCGCTGGAGTTGGTACCTCCGGTGGGCCGAGGGGCAATGGAGGAGGAGGTGGTGAGGCAGGCGAGGCCCGTTGGGCCGCCTGTTGGGCCCATTGGGAGGGGGCCCGAGCCCATACAAGTGCGGCACGTGCAGCTTGATATCGAGGATGATAGTAGCGATTACAGTAGCGACGAGGGGAGTTCGGACAGTGAGGATTGATTTGATTGGGTGATGAGTGTTTGTTTAGATGGTCTGTTTCTCTTGTTTTTTAAGGGAATTACAGAATTAGTGTATTTTTGTAATGTTTTTATGAACTGTGTGGTGTGTCGTTTTCTGTGGCTAAGTTGCCTTTCAACTTTTCGATTCTGCAAGGATTTTTTACGGTTTTTATTATTTTGCGGTAAAATTAATATTTGGTTTTTATCATTTCCTTGTTTTACTACTTGTTGCTTGACTTTTGGATTCAACTTATATTATTCCTCAGTGATAATAAAATAGGTGATACACATACTACAAAAGCTATGGAGAGAGACGACACATTCTTTATCTTTGTTCTCTCTAAATGGTGAATTATAACTCTTTCTAGTACATTCAAGTGGTAAATATGATTCAATGAAGAAAGATCTTATTTATGTTGGAATCTTGATCAGATGTCAAACTTCATGATCAACCTCCAACCAATCTACATACAGCAAACATAAAAATCATGGGAGTTTTAGACTTTTTGCATAAATTGCAAATATTAAGAGAATAAGTAAATTAACAAATTAAATGGTAAAATGATACCGTATTGTGCTTGGCGCGCACAAAATAAAATAAAACTCCTCAATATTCTCGAAATAATGTACCATGCTTGATAATATATTGCCATACTCTTAAATATCTAGCCTAACTAAGTGCGAGATCGTAATCTAAATAAATCTTACCTAAGCGAGACTCCACAATTGTCACGTATGTAGTGCCGCCCTATTCTATACGATTTTTTATTTTTGTCTTAAAATCTCTATAGATTAATAATTTAATTTAGTGCAATTAGGTACAAAACACACCATATTGGGGTACAAAAGAAAAATGAAAACCGAAATTTGAAATAAAACGGTCAATGCAGTGTAGGAAAAAATTTGAATCTCATTTTTTTTGTATCACAATTTTTTATTTTTTTTACCAAAATGTAAATCATATCTTTTCCGATAACAAATTTGGAGTTTATGAAAACAATTCTAAATACAAATTAATTTAAAAACTGTACAAAATGGATACAAATTTAGGAAACAAATAGTTGTATAATTCTTAACCAATTCTTCAAATCTTATTGTATAATTTCTTCTTCAAAAAAAGTGTGTAAATTGAATAAAACCACGTGCAATTTTTATTTTAAAATAAAACCGATACTTGGACGGGATGTACATTCAAAATTGTGTCCACATTTTTTGGTAAGAAAAGCGGTTACATTTGATATTTAAAGTCACCAAATCAAATAATTTAGAAAAAATTGTGTGCAACTTTTCAAAATTTAAATGCATTGATTTTTTTGGATTCTTATTTTTTTCTTAACCATGTTTTACCGAGATTTTGGTAAGTTAATATCATTTTTTTTTGGTTAAGTTCATATCATTTTCTTTAAGAAATAGACAGTTGCATAAACATTAACAAATTATTTTAATTTTTTATTAGAATTATTTTCAATTCAATTTGTTTGGTAAAAAAATCAGTGCAATGTTAGGAAAAGTCAGTTGCATTTTTAGGAAAATTGATGATTTTTTTTATTTAGATTAATTTGTTTGGTAAAAAATCGATTTATTGGTAGGAAAATCGATTTCATTTTCAGGAGGAACTAATGATTCTTTTCAATTTTTCTTAATTTTGAAATTTAGAATTAGATTTAAAATAAATAAGGGGTGAAGTTTCCTAAAAAATTCTACTTTTCTACACTAATTTTGTTTAATAAATAAGATCCTTTAATTTTTTAAAATTTATTAATTAATAATATGCAATTTTAGATAAAATTCGAACACCTATGTACTACTTTACGTGCCAAAGAATTAAACCAATAATGTTGTACATAAGGAAGTGTTTAATAACATATAAATTTCATTTTCATCATATTTTTAGTGTCATGAGATAATTTAAATACAAAATTATCTATTAAAAAGCAAATAGTTAATAAATGCTCCCGTGTATCGCACAAGTTCCGTACTAGTTTGAAATAAAACGGTCAATGCAGTGTAGGAAAAAATTGAACCAAACCAGAATAGCAATTTACACGTGTCAACTCGTGAATACCCGGACCCGGACCCGGTCCAACAATGAATTCGAATTCGGAATTTACACGTTGGTTGTTCGCATTTTGAAAAATTATTTACTTCTACGCACTTATTTATATCATTTTGAAATCAATGCATAAATGAAAAAACGTATTCTTTTACTCATTTTATTGTATAGTTTTTAATTATCTATATTTTATTCATATTATAAAATATAAAACATATTGGACAAGGGTTATACATAGTAATAATATATAAAAATAATATCATATGCCTCTAAACAAGAATGAAGAGTCCATTTTTGTACCCAAAAAAAAAAAAAAAGAATGAAGAGTCCATTTATCACTTGAAGTTGGAAGCCAAACTGAAAATTACACTAATCAATAACAAAAGCAATATGATAAAAGTCATCAAATTTAATCCTTGGTGTAAAAAATAATCTATGGGTCAACCATTCGAGCAAATACATATTCAATCAGTTCATAACGTCTTCAAATGGTCGTGGACCAAGTTTTAGAAATATATTATTTGAATCTTTGAGATACATTAATACATTGATTAAAATTCATGAGGATTGTTTAATCTAAAATATTAAATTGAAGTTGAAACATGTACAATATTGATTAATTTTAATAGTTGTATTATCAAGTATTTGACAGTATCCGACATCATGATATATCTCATGTCCTCTACTATTTGCTTTCTTTTTTTATGGCTTTCATTGTTTGTTCCATTGCCTCAAAATTTAATGATTATATCTTATGGGTCCATTACTTGATACGATCTTTCAACTCTTCAATAACACAATTAATAGTTATTACAATCATTTTGTTTTAAATGGATACATATTTTATATTATTTTATAAATTATGATATTTGAGTACGAAAATATGTATATTTATTGAAATGAGCATGATTGTAAGCACTAAACAGTCTTATAGTGATTAACATTTCAAAATATTTTCAAATTTAGTGTGTCAATGGAAATAAATTATAAAGAGTTTGAATATAAGTTATACAAACTAGCATATCTTTCACAAAAACCCTTGACTTGAAATAGAAAATTAAAGTTTATTAATTTGAGTTTTTTTTTTCTTTTATCTACATACTCAACTAGAATGATATATAATATAGAAATGTTTTATTATTAAAAAATTATTAAATTATTTAAAATAATAAGTCAAATCTACTCGACAAAATATATCAACTCAGTAATAATATATGGGAATGCTACCATCCCGTTACGGTATGGTTCCGTTGTGTTTTTAACCGTTGGATTAACTACTCATCACTAAATTACATGTATATCTATGGCTAGAAAACACAACAGAACCATCTCGTAACAGGATGGTATATAACTATATTACTACTAACATTTTCACACATACATGATACATGCAATCTCGACTCAACTATTCAAATAAAAAAAAAAAACATTTATAGCAATATATTCCTTAAAAATATTGAACTAATCTCCAACACACTATTTAACACTCTCTCCCTCTCCAGAAATAAAAACACCGGCAAATCACCAAATCCACACACCAAAAAACCCCGCTCTCTCTCTCTCGCTCTACACCTCCTATTTTGATTCCAAAAATAAGGTAAATTATCTCTGCGCATGCATTTTGGCGCGTGCGTATCCGAATTTTGCTGGATTGAAGATTTACCGATGTTAACCTTCGATTTGACCGCCGATACAGCTGAAATGGCGTCGGACAACCATCTAGCACCGTCCGGCGATCAGATGGAGTATTCCTGCAGCTCCAATTCTTCCGTCGTCAATGCGGATACCTCGAGCGCCGCCGGCGATGCGAACTCGATCTCGAATCACTACGCCGTCGTTTTCGATATATGGAAGGCCGGTGGAGCTGAGGAGGGCGAGAAATCGAGCGGCGGTTGCACGGCGAAGGAGTTTTTTCCGGCCGGAGGAGGCGAAACTAGGCCGAGGCGGTGGGCGGATCTCTCGGGGAGCCGCGGCGAGTTGCCGGAGGAGACGGTTGCTGCTCAGCAGCTGCAGAGGAGGCAGCTCGTGAAGAAGAGCCGGAGGGGGCCGAGGTCCCGCAGCTCTCAGTATCGCGGCGTCACGTTCTACCGCCGCACCGGACGTTGGGAATCTCACATTTGGTAAAAAAGAAAAAGGGTGAAAAATTAGTTGTGTGTTTACAGTTATAAATCTCTATAATCGCTTCACTATCTTGTTAGACGTCCGTAGGCAAGTAATTTCGACAAATATGGCTGATTTTTATTTTGCTTTTCGAATTTGTTGTATTCTATATAGCAATTAGTATTTCATAATAGCTTGACTACTGTACTGCTTAAGATTTATCTGCTACATTGTTCCACCAATTTTGTAGTTACTGTAGATCGGTATGTTGATTAATGCTTCATTTGTTTTGTAATTTCTAAAAAAATCTAATGGATCCAGAATTAAAATCTTAGGACTGTAGAAATTTGGAAATACTGAATGCCGAATGCGATACATTATTTGCATCTGATAATTCACGTCTTTACATCCGATTATCGATTGGTCAATTCAAAGTTTGGTCGTGATGACTGTTGCTGGCTAGGATCTGTAAATATATTGTGATCTTGGTGGGGACTTAAAATGCTTTTCCATGTATTATTGTTTGATTAATTTTAGCCTTTTTTTGGGCATGTTGATCTTTGCAGGGACTGTGGTAAACAAGTTTATTTGGGTAAGTGGCATAAACAGTACCACCTACTTTTTTGCTTCTTTGAGTATCTTGCTATATATTTATGTACTGGTATATCGGAAACTCATCAAATATGGAATGTGAATTGTGTAGGGGGATTTGACACTGCACATGCTGCGGCTAGGTTAGAAAGTTTCAATTGCCCGTAAATTCAATATTTGATGATAGAGTTGTGGTTGCTAAAATTCTGTGAGCTATATCTGATTCCAAACTCTAGGGCATACGATCGTGCTGCAATAAAATTTCGTGGACTGGATGCCGATATCAATTTCAACGTCAGTGATTATGAAGATGATCTTAAGCAGGTTGATTGAGGCATCATTGAGCATGATATAAATATATTGTTCTTTTCTTGCCTGAAGAGTTCTTGATGCTGAGATTTTTTCCTTTTTTATTCATTAGATGAAGAATTTAACCAAGGAAGAATTCGTGCACATACTTCGGCGACATAGCACAGGTTTCTCTAGAGGAAGCTCAAAGTATAGGGGAGTAACGTTGCACAAATGTGGAAGATGGGAAGCTCGGGTGGGGCAGTTTCTTGGCAAGAAGTAAGATATCTCGAAGACTTGCTGATTTTTCATGATTATAATGTAGCTGCTGCTTAATATCTGGATCATTTAGCAAGAGTATTTTCTCATACTTTCTGGTGCAGGTATATCTATCTTGGGTTGTTTGACAGTGAGCTAGACGCTGCAAGGTTAAATCACAAAAAACACCCCCACAGTTCTTTTATTCATTTCAAACAGTTAACTTTTTGTAATAATTTATCTGGTTTAATTGGAGAACTTCCCTCCCATAGGGCATATGACAAGGCTGCTATCCAATGCAATGGAAGAGATGCAGTCACCAATTTCGATACGAGTTCGTATGAAGAGGAGCTGAACGTGTCGGACATAGGAAGTAAAATAAAAAAAGACTGACCGAACTCCATAACGTTTCCTCCCTGAAATTCTTAAACATGTTGCATTGTCATTAAAATATTGTTTGTTAACTTGATTTTTTTTCTTTTCTGTTTTTGCTTATGTTCAGATGGCAAATATCACGATCTTGATCTAAACTTGTGCATTGCGCCTCCTAATGGAGCCAACGTTCATACTGAGAACATCGAACCTGGAAACTTTCAGATTAACTGCATCTCAAAGGTCGTGTGGACACTGGACTGTTAGATGTGTTTGTTGTCTGCTTAAGTAAATTCATGATTCACAGTTTGAGAATTTTTTGTGGTGACTCGGTTCAATATCGTGAGTATTTACTAAACTTAGTTATCATATATATTTTTTTTACTCCAGGGCTCAGCATCGGCTTCTGTGGGAGCTCAATTGCCCCGCGATAAAGGAAACCTCTGTGAACGCCCTTTTATCTGGGGCGGAATAGACTCCTGCTTTCGTCCTGCCTATAAGGTATATATCCTTTTTCTTTTGGTCTATCGGCCCAACTTTTACTTACCTATCTGGAATTATTATGCTGACATTTTTCTTATTGGAAGTTGTTTAACAGCTGTGTCTTGATTGCTGCTACATGTTAGGGCTAATTACTTAACCACTAGCCTAGAGGTTTAGCCTAATGGAATTATTTAGAAAGATATAAATATATTCTAAAAGGTTTGTAGTTTTTGGAATGCAAATGGAGTATATATGTAGACAAAACCTATGGGTGATTCTGGCTATGTTTGGTAAACCTAACTGATAAGCTAGTTTATAGGTAGCTTTTAAGCGAATTTTGTACTTATAGCTGATAGCTTATGATTTATGGTGGAAAAGTTAGCATATATGATAAAAGTGTTTGGCAAAATTAGCGCTGAAATAAAAATTTCGATGAGTTTATTTAAAAAACTACCCAATGAAGCTTATGAGATAAGCTCAAGCTTTTTAAAAAAGCTAGTCCTACCAAACCAAGCTAGCTTATATGCTTTACCAAACACAGTTTCTATTAATTATGCCTAGATGTCATATATTGTTAGTTCTCGGCATGTAAATTATTAGTTAAAACAATCTTGACATCTATTTTTCCATTTTCCTTCATGGCAGGGGACTACAATAGAGAAGTTCATGGAGGTTGATCGACTGGCAAATTGGACTTGGAAGTCACCCGAACAGTTTCACGGGGATTGCACTTTGCCCCTCTTCTCGACTGCAGCATCATCAAGATTCGCCACTAGCTCGAGTTTCAACTCTTCTTCATCTTGTCCGGTTATTCGCTCGCCTTTCAGCATGAGTTCCCAAAACCACTATCCTTTTGCAAATTTGACCAACAGTGGACCTCATCAAAGTCCGTGACTCGTGAGGCTTTTTACGGACATGTCATCAAGAAAAATAATTTTTTTTATTATACGCGTTTATTTTTGCCGAACGATTCAGTTGTCGGCATCTTATAAAGGGATTTGAATAATTCTGCAAAATTTGTTATCCTTTTTGCATAGACACCTACATAAATTACCTCTGAAGTTTAGTTCGATTATAAGTACTCCAACTATGCCTCAAATTTACAGTACATTATATCTGCTGTTTTAAAGGTGAGAAATTCCTTTTCAGCTCTGAATGTACCTTAATTGTTAGTATGTATGTCTCGTGCTTGAAATCAAATCAAACCAGTTTGTTATTTGGAGGTATTATATTGAGAAATGTGAAAAATTGTGTTCAAATAGTATACTTTAATTACATTCTGGCTATGAGAGATGAGTTCTGCTACTAATATACTAAAACAATAAAATCTGAAAAATAAATATATATATATATATATATATATAGGGAGTGGTTCAAATAAAAACTAGTTCTGGTGTGAGAACCGTGAGAACCGTATTTGATGCTAGTTTTTATTGTGTATGATGCTATTTTTAATATCACATGGTGCTACCATTTTTACAAGTGCTATTATAAATTGTGTTGCTATTTTTAAGAAAATAAATCCATGTTAAAAATAGCATTAAAACACAATAAATCATAGCACTACTTGCAACTATAAATAGCGGTTCTCACGGTTCTCACGCTAGAACTTGATTCTCATTTGAACCACATCCTATATATATATATATATATATATATCAATTTTGTATTCCAAATTTACGTACTCCTATGTTTTGGTATCTCATTTTTCAACTTAATTAGTTATGATACCCTAAGTTTCATCCACTAATTGAATTTTTCAAGTTTTGATGATTGACTAATGGTTGAATGGGATCTGCTCATTGGATTATTATAAGCGTCAGTCTAGATATCCAATCAAGCCTCTCAACCAATTCACGATCGGCCGACGAATTTTCCGCAAGCGAATGACCGGTAAAATTTTGTCGGTCAATTTGAGATAATCCAGATTTTAACTGAAGATTGAAATATACCTTTTGATTTTCCAAAAAATATGCTATCTGAAAACACATTCTTGTAAAAATCCAAACGAATAATTCTCCAATATGTGTTCTACCAAAACTAATTAAGTTGAGATTTTATGTTTAAAAATTGTAGCCAAAAGCTCTAGGCAGTGTGTTTAATTTACCCTAAAATCCATGCCTTAAATGTAAGAGCTTGATCCATCTAAATAAGTCCTTTTTCCCTTGTATGGTTCCTTGCCACTTGGCGGGTTGGCAAGTTCCTTTAAATGTCGTCAAACTTTTTTACTGGTCAACTTGATTTGACAATTCTTTTGACATGTTCATTTTGATTTTAATTTTTTTTGGGCCATCAACATCTAGATTGCATCTGAATACAATTATTTTCAAGTGACTGTCTAAAATGATAGAATCTGATGCAAAAGATAATTTAAATTTGAAACATATCATGGTGAAATTGGGTTTGTAACTTAAAATTTATATGTTGAGAAAATCTAATAAGTATGAGTGGAAAGAAAATTAGATGAAACTGCAAGACTTCCATGGGGAAAGCGTAATATTCAGATGATAATTTTCATTTTCAATATATATGCACGTTTATCTATTAATAAAATGTTAACCTACTAGGTGGACGGTCATTTTTTTTTCTTTAATATGCAAGCATATTTTATCTTAAAATGTGTTTATATTATTTTGTTGTAGACACACAATGCATCTAAAAATAGACACTGCATATACAGATATGACTAGTCATTTGTCCCTTCCCCAACCATAACACAATTTACAGCCTTTCTTCATGTAGCATTGATTAGGGAGCCCTTTTCTCTGTCCCTTTTTCAAAAAATCTTATTTTCGCAGCGTGGTCGACCCCCCTATTCCGGAGGGTCGCCCTCTACGGCCAACGGGACGACCTTAGGCGAGTCGCGACTGAGGGCTGCTTTTCCGCCCCTCTCGGTTTCGGTGGTTGACTGGGCCGAAGGTGGATTTCTTCGCCTTGTCTTTCCGGGCACCGGAGGGGTTGCCGGTCGTCGTCTTCAACTCCAGCCGAGGGAGCCGTCATGCCGCTGGAGCTTCGTTCTCGTGTGCCTCAGTTCAGTTCCTTGGAGGACGACGTCGCTCGGCTGTGGTTTGCCATGGCGGGGCTGCCCCGACTAGCCAACGGTCCGCCTGGTTCCAGTCTTGCCGGGCCAGGTTGTTTCGGGTGCGGGTCCGTCTATGGTGTTTTCCTCGAATTTTTTGTCTCGAGCCCTCGGGCGTGTTCTTGGCGGTCTCCCTTCCTATCCCAGGCATTGAAGTTCTTCGGAGTCCAGATCTGGACCGAAAATCTGTCTAAGCGGGTTGAGTGCCGCAGTTTTCGGGTTTGGAGCTTAGTTCTTGTTGCTCAGTTGGGGTTCTTTGTTGTGGGTGTGACTCGGTTGTTTGTTTAGGTGGTCGTGGGGTTCGTCTTCTTGGTTTAGAGAAGGTTATATTTTATTTTGTTTACTAGGTGTGTGTTGTTTTTTATCTTTCTATGTTGTTTTTTCGTTTAGTCCAACGGCGTCTGGTTGTTAGTCTCATCTTTGGAGTTGGTGTCTCCCTTATGGAGTTTTGTTTTTGCGGTTAGGTCTTATTGATGGAGTTTGTACCCCCTTGACCACGTGTGCGGATTCAAAGGGGGGTTGGTCCAATTCTTCTGGTTCCAGTAGTGTCAATTGGCACTTCGATCTGTACTCTTTTTGAGTTTTTAAGTTAATAATATATTTGT